TGTTATTAAGGTGACTGCTGTCGTGATTTAATTCTAAATAAATTCAATTGCTTGACTCAAAGTTATTGTGGGACTCGCTCGCATTGTGTCACTAATGGTTATTTCACCTGTTGACACCACATGTTGCAGAATTTGCTCTCTGTTTGCTTCTAGTCTCTTCCTGCATGGACATCCCCCCTCCCCCCTTCAAGTTGTTAAATAAAAACACTAACAGTACTGATTTTGCTTCATGTCCAGCTTGCGATTATTATTCAGCCTGGTGTCTCACTGAAGTACTTAACGGGTACTAACATAATTGTGATTGACTTAATTGTTTGCCTCGAATTTTCTTCATTCTTATGATTTAAAAAAAGCTTTTGCTGCATGTCCTTGTTGTGACTGATTCCCTGAAACTTAATACATTTTAGAAAAACTGCAATTATTTCTTCCTCACATTAGACAGGATGCACATTTACACAGAAAAACTGAAAAAAACATAATATAATTAGCGCTCAGCTGAAGAATGTGTTTGTTTTAAAAGATGAGAGCAGGAGACAAAAAAAACAGAGGAAGGAAAGAAGGAGAAAAAAGTAACAAGAGGAAACAACAGTAGATACACTGACGGCAACAGAAGCAGGCTAGCACAGAATAACATAGTCTGCAACCCTGCGTCCCGGCTCTGACACAGACACGGGGGTTTATGGGACAGGGATTTGTGACATCAAAATCTTGCGTCATGGAGCTCCAACACTTCCTGCGCTGCTGCTGTGTGCGGGTGAGAGGGAGAGCCATGACACCTCCAGCCGTGAGATCTAAACATTCAATGTGGCCCAAGCTTAACACATACACACACTGTCACACACTAAATGTCAGTACAGGAAGCTTAGCAAACATCCAGACTCCACTAAGTAGCAACAAAGTGGAGTCTGGACTCTTTTTTTTTTTAGCTTGATACAACAAATGACATCTTGAAAGAGAAGCTTGTCCTTGACTCTGCGAGGTGGAGCTCTGCTGTGCAGCTGATGCTTGTGATACACCTTTTATGTCACTTATATACGGTAGAGTAGACAGCTCACAAAAGTTGGCCTTCTGAGCCAATGTACAGTGAATATGAAGTACAATGAAAACATACACACACACTAAGTATGTGAGTTCACTGGGGGCCTTTGGCTGACTCCTTGATGCCTCTGTCAACATCAGATGCTCACGTAGACTCTCTCACCCCTCTTCTGACGCCATTGGCCCTCACTTGTCTTCTTCTCCTTCCTCCCCTCTGTTTCTTCCTCTGCTGCTCTTTCCAACCTTTAAGGCCTCTGTGTGCTGTCCACTGCCCCTGGCTTTTCCACTCTCCCACTGTTTGTGTTTGCATCAGAGGAAGATGAAATATAAAGATGCTTTCTTGGCTTGCGTGGCTGTGTCTTTTATGAGAATGACAGTTTAATGGAGCTTAAATTAAAGTGGATAGCCCAAACAAAAGGGTCCTTTATGGGTAATCAAAAAGATTTAACGAACTGCCGATGAAGCTTGTGATGAATAAAAGGTGCTGCAGTCTTTGCTATGGAACATATTAAAGAGTAAATCATGCTGAAGCCCACAGCTGCTTTGCTCTCTCTGATTATTAACGTTTTTATTCAGAGCAAGAGAAGATCTTTGCTTTGCTTTTCTTTCTTCCAAGTAATCCTCGCTGGCTTTTATTGTCGTGATTCTTGACGTTCCCAGAAACACACATTAAGAAGCTAAATCAGCTTCGCCTAACACTGAATGATTCATTCAGTGGAAGAAATGAAAAACTACACCGAACGAACCACTTTCCATTACACAAGACACGTTTTTGCTAAGTGCATGAGTGCCGTACAAGTACAAACACCATTCGTGTATAATTTTTTTTTTTTCAAAAATGTACTCTTGTCAGCGTTTGAGCATCTTTTCCTAACAAGAACTCTGGAAAACGGATGGGGAAAAGAGAAAGCACCAAAGGAGGAGAAATGGGACACTTATATAACGCAGAAGCAGAAGGGACAAATTGACCTTCTTCTGTCTCAGCTGGGCCCTCCATGTTACAAGTTGTCCGCTAACATGAAACCACTAACATGCAAACACACACAAACACATTTTCAAACACACACATGCACACACACAAAAATGGCTATAAATCTGCCACATCCAGACTTATTTAGAGCTACTCAGAGGGAAAGACCAAAAGGAAGAGAATACAGAGAATACAAACCATACAAGCCAAAACTGAAAGCACATGATAATGTACAAAATATCTGTATGTCCATGAAAAAAGCAGATCCATTTGTCAGCCTGTTTTACTGTAGGCACTCTTACTTTTCAAAAGATACTCTTCATTAGGACTTTTTACTGTAACACCTGTGAATACATCAAACACCTTTTACTTGGGGAATGACAAAGTTACACGGCAGGTAGCTGTGGCTTACAAGTGTAGAGTGGGTCAGATACTAAATGAAAGGTTAAAGGGTTCGATTCCTGGCTCATCCAGTCTACGGGCCAAAATTTGATAATGATAATGATGATAACAAAGCATCTAAAGGCATAAAATAAAAGTGCTGCATGTGTGAATGAAGCTTGTAGTAGAAAAGCAATACAACTACAAGTCAGTTTATAAGTATAGTTGGAATTGTTGTGGGAACAAGGTTGGTATATTATCTAAAATAAAACATTTAAGTTCCCTAATAAAATTATCCAGGATGTGTTACAATTTGTGTCTGAGTGCCTCTGGTGCATGTTTATTGATACTGGGATGTCTATTATAAGCCAATCAGTTCCTCATGTGAACGTGGTCCAGCAGTTTCCCACGTCATAAGTCTGTTTATTGCTTTCATACCATTCTATTGAGCCTACTTTATTTATTGCTTCTTTCTTTTGTTCCTGGATTTAAAAAAAAACTGTAGGAGTAATGGAAAAAATCCACACAGCAGAGCACTGCAGTATTTTGTTTGGCAATATTGTATCCATACAGGGACACCGAATATCAATATTTAAAAAAAAAAATAAGTTCAACTACTCGATCGAGAGAGCTCATCCCCTTCACCACACTCCTGAGATAACATTATCTAATAAAACTTGAAACACACTGGAAACAAATCTTCCTCCTAAGAGCTCAGTCACACAAGTAAAATAGGACAGCAACTGCCTTTCATCTTCAAAAAAACAAACTGGTGGCTGCTTTTTTTTCCACATTCTGTGACTAAGGCTACGTTCACACTGCAGGCGAAAGCGCATCAAATCCGATTTTTTTTT